AGCCCCCGGACGAGCGGGTGAAGAGGAAAGCCCAGTCCGCGGAGGAAATGGGGAAGAAATACAACCCTCTCATGGGGCCTAGGGGTGGGGATGAGCTGCCCCTCGTCTGGAAGCCGGTGCGCAATGTCGTTGTGCAGGTATCCGACTTTCCGCAACCTTTTGATGTGCCCCTCCATGACGGAGGAGGCCATCCACTTGCCTCCCGCTCCGGACATGGTTGGAGTAGGTCGAGGTGAGATGTGCGGGCTTGGACGCTGGAGCTCGATTGCGCAAGGACGAATAAGCAAGGGAGGAAGAAGGCGTAAATGGAAAGGGTAGATCCTTATCCCCTTATATGGGCGGCCAAAACTACGAGCCCCCACCGGCCTAATAAAACTCGCTTATCTCCCAAGCGCTGCGGTTAATGGCGCGGTTGGGTTACCCACGCCCGTATTGATGAGAATCCTAGAATAAGGGGACACGATCTCTGCTTTGACAAGACGTGCCAAGGAAACCGCCTCGCTAAACGCCTTGAGGTGGAGTAGTAAAATGAATAAAAGCCTGGTCGTGGCGTGAGGTCACGCTACGGAATTCATCAGCAGATTAGATTGGTGCAAATATTATTCTCTCTATGGTGGCATGTGGAAATTGTTTTGCAGAGCCGGGCACTATCCTGGTGTTCAACATCTTCTATGAAGTATTCGGAGGAGGAACCCGCCTTGCAATGCCGAAGACAACTTGCGCGCCGGACTCGTCATCATTGAAGCCTGGTTCAGGGGCTACCGAGGGAGTCCTGGATTAGGGGGTGTCCGGATGACCGGACTATGACCTTTGGCCGGACTCCCGGACTATGAAGATACAAGATTGAAAACTTCGTCCCGTGTTCGGATAGGGACTTTCCTTGGCGTGGAAGGCAAACTTCGCGATACGATATGAAGATCTCCTCCCATTGTAACCGACTCCGTGTAACCCTATCCCTCTCCGGTGTCTATATAAACCGAAGAGTTTTAGTCCGTAGGACGAACAACAATCATACCATAGGCTAGCTTCTAGGGTTTAGCCTCTCTGATCTCGTGGTAGATCAACTCTTGTAATACCCATACCATCAATATTAATCAAGTAGGAGTAGGGTTTTACCTCCACCGAGAGGGTCCGAACCTGGGTAAAAACATCGTGTCCCTTGTCTCCTGTTACCATCCGCCTAGACGCACAGTTCGGGACCCCCTACCCGAGATCCGCCGTTTTGACACCGACAATGTGCATGCACGAACACCATGCCAGCTCCTTTTTTTCCTCTCCCCAAAGAGCACATCCATATGTTTGCCGTCATACCATCCCGCACGTGCATAGTCCATAATTCTAGAGTAACAAGGACAAGGTACCAGGTACATATCCTTCTTCAATTAAAGTCCATTTGTACGTGTGGTGCTCGAACTGCTTTCGGAACGTCGCCATTGCCCACATGCTGCCTCATCTTCCAATCTCAATTACTTCGATCTCAAGTACTCTTGATTATTCTTTTTGTTTAGTTCGTAGAAGTGTGTCACACTTATGTTCTACTCCCTTCGTCCCATAATGTAAGATGTTTTTGACACTACACTAGTGTCAAAAAATGTCTTACATTATGGACGGAGAGTAGTATTTTATGGACTCTAATTCAATTTGAAGATTATTTGGATTTATGCATCCGTAATGTTGGAGCTGCTCAGTGCTCACGTCGTCCATGTAAGGTGTAAAGAGAAGACAGTCTGTTGATTTCTGACTTATATATTACAATAAGGGCCACGTACAACCGGTTCACCGGAAGAAGAACGTTCGTAACCCTCAGGGGACGTACAGAACCCTTAAATGTTACATAAAAGACCATATACGATCTTTCCATTGTACTCCCTCCGTTCGGAAATACTTGTCATCAAAATGGATAAAAGGGGATGTATCTAGACGTATTTTAGTTTTAGATACATCTCTTTTTATTCATTTTGATGACAAATATTTTCGGATGGAGGGAGTACCATTGTTTGCATATATAGGCAACTTGGGAGATTACATCTGAACCCCAGCCCAGGTATATATTATCTGAACCAAACGGCTCTTATTCTGTTCAAATGGAGTGGGGGGAAAGGTTCCAGGAGGGGGGTGAGGTAGGGGATGGGTGGGACGGGTGTGTTGGAGTACAACGTGGTGGGTGTCCAGATTCTGCCCAATCTCCCACAAATTTGATTCCGGTTTAGGGGAATTCGGACGTCCGGACGGGTTCATAAACGTTTGATGCACGGTGTGGATGAAAAAAAGTTTCTAAACTACGACATCCTATCATTTAAACACGTTTTGACGAAATAGGGTTTCCCCCCGCTTTGTATTACAAAGCATTGATGCATAGTGTCGGAGTTGCCCTTAGAGCAACACTCTAAACACACTCTAGGAAGTGTTAGGGGCTGTTTGGGTATCACCCATGCCGACCCCACCAATGCATGGGCGAAACAAACTTTTGGCGCTGCTTTCTGCCGCCCACGCCCCTGGCCGATAGTTGGCAAAAAAAATGAACTAAAAAGTTGGAGGTAGTCAGAGCACGCCAACGAATTGGTTTCGATCCAAACGGCGCCTCAATATCAAAGCTCATACCCAGGAAGGTACAAGCATGCGAAAGGGCATAGAAGCCAATACAGTGAACCATCTCTTTACTGCGCCAAATCAACCCACACCTGCATCTTTTCACTGACGCCCAACCTCGATGTCTCGAAAATTCCCCAGTGCCTCATTAACAAGGAATTGTAGGCACATGTTGATGTTGGAGTTTGTTTCAGTGTTGACAATTTTTTTGAAAAGAGACTATATAACCTTTTAACTACGACTTTGTGCTTTGTTAGCAACGAAAGCATGTCTTTAGTGGGGGGGGGGGCAGTTAAAAAGCCGAAAAATTGGCTTCAAAGAGACAAACATATATGGGACCGACTATAGGCAAGTTATCTGACTTTTGTTCAACCCACAACCGTCCATCTTTTTTCTTCTTCCATCTTTCTCCTCAAACTGTTACAATTCCACTGCCCACCTCTGGCTCACTTCATGACCTCTCATCTTGCTGCGAAAACACGCCTCACTACCGCTTATCTCACCGTTCCCACCTTCGGCGATGGTGTTGTTGAATTCAAGCGGGACTCGGTACTAAAAACCTAGCACTCGTGTAGGTCAACCCTCAGACCCGTCTCCGCCTAAGATGTTGCGGTGAGTCGCATCATCTCTGGCTCAGCCACGTCGTGGCACACCCAACTCGGCATCGGAGCTCCGCTCTCGCCTTCTTTTTCTTTCTCCCACGAAATCTGACCTACCCAAATTCAAATTGCAAATTCAGACAAGGTACATATAACCATTATGAACATATAAATTGCCCTTGTGGCACAACCTCCACCTTCGGAGAGAAACACATGCCCCCATTTTAGGCTGGTTATAGTGGGGAGTGAGTTAGACTAGTAATATGCTTAGCCTGGTCATAGTGAGACTAACTTAGCTAGTAACATAACGCACACCAATGCAAAACTTCTTATGTGGCAAGTAGTTAATGAGGAGAGAGGTGCTTAGAGTAACATAATATGTTACTGTAACATAGCGTTTCACAAGAATAAATGAGTCTACAAGCTAATAAATGCAATCATTTACGGTACTACTTCTATGTTATTTTGCACTATGAGGGTAGTAACATAGACTAGTATCATATGTATGATACTAGTCTAAGTTACTCCCACTATGACTAGCCTTATGTTACTCCTCTATAGCGGGTAGTAACATATGTGTAATGTCATGCAACATATTGCTTATTAGGTTGCAGACTCATTTTGTCTTGGTATGTGTAATGTAACGGTAATATATTATGTTATAAGCTTTTCTTTCCTCATTAATTACTTGCCACATCATCTATTTTACCTAAAAATGTTTAATGTTACCACTTCCCACTACGCGGCCAGACACGCATCACGGAGAGCCTGCCAATGCTGACCAGTACTCCCTTTGTCACCATAGACGGCGAAGTACATGGTCTGCTCGTTCACAAGAGGAAGAACGGCCACCAAAATGAGGGAGCCGGGGCTCCTCTTGAACCACATGTTGCGATTCGAGAGACTGATGGAAGCGACAAACACAAATGATGAGAGTAGGAGCATCTCCAAAAGGCACACAAAAACTGCCCCGCACGTTAAAATTCGGGTTTTTTCGGCGCCGGACAGCCTCAGCAGAAGCTGTAAAATAGTGCACGCGCAAAAAAGAATTGCGCACGAGCTAAAAGGCGCTATTAGAAGCTGGAAATTTGGGGCGCTGGATTGCGCACGCTTCACAATTTGCACTGCGTGTTTTTTTATGCGCACGTTTTTGGGCATCTGTTAAAACAATGTTGGGTTCGACGCGCTAAAAGTGCTGCAGTGGCACGCTAAAATTGTTATAGCGCGAAACTTTTATGCGCCTATTAGAGATGCTCTAAACGACTAAACCCACATGCGTTGACCTCTCCTTACATGTGCACCACACATCAACCGGCTCCACATGCAAGAATCTTAAGGGCCACCTACAACCGCTCACCCCGGGGGAACATTTTTTACAACCCGCACGATGTCAATAGTTTAGATGTTGCATAAAAGACTATAGTATAGCCTGTTTCCATTATAGTACTTCATCCGTCCCAAAATAAGTGACTCAACTTTGTACTAAAGTTGATACAAAGTTGAGTCACTTAATTTGAGACGGAGAGAGTACTATTTGCTTATATACCGGCAACTTAGGATTAGTATAAAGTTGAGTCATTTAATTTGAGATGGAGGGAGTACTATTTGCTTATATACCGGCAACTTGGGAGATTACATGACGAAGGTTACAAACCTGGAGGTGGAGGATCACGTCTGAACCCCAGCCCCGGTATACATTATCTGAACCAAACGACTCTTATTCTGCGTACTTGTACGTACATATACGGTTGGGCCTGCACTTATAACAGAGTAATAACACGTGTATAATATGATGAGACGATGGACGATCAGCTAGCTGTTGACGACCCTGCAGTGGCGTCTGATCTGGGTGGGGGTTCCGCTGGGCGGGGTGAGGCTCCCCATCTTGATCATGGCCGTCACGAAGTCGGACTCGAAGAGCTTCGGGTTGGCGGCGTACTGGCGCACCAGCGCGTCCTGGGAGCCGCCGTTGAAGAGCAACTGGTCGGCGCTCAGCAGGCCGCGCTTGGCTACCAGGTTGTGATAGTAGGTGTTGTCGAATACGAGCGGCGTTTGCACGTCTAACGGTGCCAGGTTGCCGTCGCCGTCAGGGGCCTGGGCGGGGCAGGAGCGCTTGCGCAGCATGGCGAACGCCGGGTCGATGTCGGTGCCGTTGTAGATGTGGTCGCGAAAGTTGACGCAGTGCGAGAAGCCAATGGTGTGCGCGCCCAACAGCACCGTCAGGTCGTGCGGGCTCAGGTTCTTCTTGGCAAACATGGCGATGAGCACATCGAGGCTTAAGCTGGTCAACGAGAGGTTGCTGTTCGCCTCATTCAGGTTGGCCGAGCGGCAGCTTCCAGCTGGGCCCGCCTAGCTGCCGGAATGATGTATGTATACCGACCGATCAACCCAAACGTTGTCACTCGTCAGTAACCAGAAAAGTGCAGTGTACGTACCAGAAAGACGCCGTCCCGTGCGGCGAGGGCCGTGATGTCGGCGCAGGAGACGACGCCAGGGCAGACCAGCTCCACGTTCTTCTTGATCTCGTCGATCACCTCATAGCCCCGCACAGTATTCCCGTTGGGAAGGGCGGTCTTCTCGCCCACGAAGCTACCCACGTCATCCAAGAGAATGGACCCGTCACAGCCCTATGCATATAACAAAACTCCACCATTAATCCTGACCTTCTCCGCGAAAAGAAAATTGATACTACTATGTGATTGTAAATCAATGGACATAACTATGTTTGCATAAGGGTTTAGTTTAGTTACTTGAACAAAACAGTCATGGAAGTAGAGCCTGAGGAGGGAGGCCCCCACTCGGCGCTCGGCGAGGAGTGCCTTGGTCATTGTGGAGCGCATGATGAGTTCCAGCTTCGGGCAGGACTTCGCATAGAATGACGGCGAGAGCTGGCCGTAGGCCGCCGAGGAGAGGAGGAAGAGAGCAAGCAAGCAATGCCATGTCCTACAGCTAGAGCTGGAAGCCATGGCTCAGATTTGTGTAGCTACGTACGTAGGCTCAATGTGTTCTTCACTGTACGAAGGATTGCTAGCTCAGTGGCTGTGCATAACTGTGGCGAGCAGGAGCCACCTATTTATAATACTAGTATTGTTCTTTCGGTTGCATGAGATGCATGTAGAATGGTCAAAAGTTAGGTCCGTACGGGGTTGTGGAAAAGTATGACAAGTTCCACGTCGTTTCTTTGTCTTGTTGACTAATTAACAGCAACACATCTCTACATAGCATCTCCAACAGGCGCGCAGTAACACGCCACACTAAAAAAAAATACAGCGTCAAAATAGTGTTTTTGCACGCGGGAGCAACGAAAAGGCGGCCTCACCTGTAGCCGCGAGCACACTCGTGCGCTAAGGGTTTTTTAGCGTGCCCTACTATACAACGACTGCTGATGCGCTGTTTTTTGTCTCCGGCGCACAAAAACGCTGGTTTTTAGCGCGTGAGGCAGTTTTCGGGCGCGCGTTGGACATGCTCCTAGGTGCCAAAAATGGGTTCCATCTTTTGCTCAAATGTCACCTGGAAATAGCATTTCGAGTATAAATAAATAATATAAAACAGTTAGTGCGTTGTTTGCCGATCTCTATGGATAATGACCATATTCAGCTAGCTAATTGAAATTATGTCGTCATGTGACATACGTGGTAAGCAATCGAAACTACTCCACAAAAATTTGAATTATGTCTTCCGATGTCTCATGCTCTGTAGGGTTGTTTCGTGAACTTCCTTTTATTGATATCTTAATCTAATAAGACTAATGTTATGATCATAAATAAATACACATGGAATTGGCAATGGGACATGGGGACGGAGAAGGATGTAAACCGCGATGTGAGTAAGCCCATGTAGAATTGACAGTCATTGGATAAGAGAATTGCAACACAAGCTTACGTCCCTCCCTGCCTTGTTATTTTTGTGAAGAAATGTTAATTTTAAAAGTTAGCTCCAATATCTAATATGAATAGTCATGTATGTTTAATTTAATTCAAACTTAAAGATTGCTTTGCGTGCAAGCAGGAGTATAGAGAATATCAGAGGAGCTTCAAAAAGCTGGAGAGAAAGACCAGACACCCGCAAAATGAGCCATTCCCTCATCACTCAATTGAAATCATTGGGTTGAGAAAATGACTTTCATCACTGGTAAACATTTGGTGCATTGACTTTTTTGGAGAAATCTTTGGTGCAAAGTTGAATTGATTAGATCTTAGCATCCGGTTTTTGGTAAATCTTTGGTGCATGACTAATGTGGTGAATGGGCGGTGGACCTATCGCTCGTGGACCAACCTGCTGGGATGGTCATCTTCCTCTCGAGGGGATGCTCTCAGGCGTAGACGCGTAGTCCACGTGAATGAATTGTTATGCCTTTATCTACTTCAGATATAGGCTGGGTATGGTGGGCAGGGGATGCCGGTCAGCCTAAACAAATAGAGTCGGTTTGAGGAGCCCAACTGGGTCATAATTTTATGACCGATCATTGGCCGGGCGGCTCGCTTAGATGTAAAAGAGGCATTTGAGAATGCTCTTACCGCCCTTCGATGTGCACGTGTGTTGTGCGTTGGTGCCATCTAGGACCTGCAGGTTGTATCCATCCACAAGGCTCATGCCCTAGAAGTCGTTTGTGGCCGCCACCCTCGAGCATGAACTCCGCTAGCATCTCTGGCGGCGTCCGGTCCCGGCCAGCGCACTCCAGTATGCCGGTGCCGCAGTCACCACCCCATGGCGCACGCTAATTTCCTGGTGCCGAGATCATCGAGATCATGAATCAATCAAGTGCATGCACGAACACATGGGGTTACTCGCCCCATGCCGCTCGCTAATTCCCGTCCTCAGCGTAGCCAGCCTCACTAGCCAGAGAGAAATAGCAACGCGAACGCGATGGCTGCAGCACCAAGGATGTGGGTCCAATCCTCCCTTCCCACCGTTCAACAGGATGACCAGTGCAAGATTTGCCCCATCATCATCGAGATCATGAATCAATCAAGTGCATGCACGAACACCGTGTCAGTTTTCTTTTAGTGCACTGCAAATCTGCCATCTGATTTTTAACCATGACAAAATGAATGTTTTTCACGACAAATTGTGTTCGCCATGGATGACAAGTTTAGTTGCAAGTATAGCATATCTGTCTCAATTTTTGTTTTGACCAGAAAATTGCCGTGCTTGCAAACTAAATATATCATCATTGCCACAATACAAATTGCCATAAAAAACGTCAAAATTTGTCATAAGTAAAAATCTGACGTTAGATTTTTAGCATTTTCGTTTTTCCCCCAAAGAGCACATCCATGTGTTTGGCGTCATCCCATCCCGTACGCTATATACCATGTGCATAGTCAACAATTCTACAATAACAAGGACAAGGGACCAAGTACATATTCTTCTTCACTTACCGTCCTTGTGTACGTCTGGTGCTCGAAGCGCCGTTCGGAACATCGCCGTTGCCCACATGCTCCTCATCTTCCAATCTCATTTACTTCGATGTCAAGTACTCTTGAAATTATATTATTTTAGTTAGTATAGTACAAGTGTACCACAAAGAGTTACTGCAATACGGATAATAAACATACAAATTGAAACAGATAATGGATTAGAATAGGACTTCGGTATTGATCGGTTACGCCTTTTTGCTGAGATCGGAATTGAGAATTGCATTTGAGATTGGAAAAAGAAAAACATTAATTGTAGAAGACTACAGGATGCAACCCAATTGTATTCATCGGAGTCTGTTACAATATATACAGGTGGTATCTTGCGTGACAAGCCAACTAACCATACAATATCTCTAGGAATCAGCTATACAAGGCTAGAGATAAATAGGAGAATTAGTCGGTAATAAATACAGAGATATCACGGTTCAACAGCCCCCCGCAGTCGAAGCGTCGGCATCGGCGATGCAAAGACTGGAACAAAACTCTTGGAATGCAGCAGTTGGGAACCCCTTAGTCATGATGTCGGCGAACTGTTGGGTAGTCGGTACATGAAGAACTCAAAGCTGACCCAACTGAACCTTCTCGCGCACAAAGTGAACATCGAGCTCAATGTGTTTGATGCGCTGGTGCTGCACCGGATTAGCCGTGAGGTAGGTGGCCGACATGTTATGGCAGAAGACCACAGTGGCTTTAGGAAGTGGAATCCGAAGCTCACCAAGAAAGTGACGAAGCCAACAAGTCTCCGCGACCACGTTGGCAACAGCTCGGTACTCGGCCTCAACACTCGAACGGGAGATAGCATGCTGCCGTTTAGAAGACCAAGAGACAAGAGAGTCACCGAAGAAGACACAATATCCGGACGTGGAACGTCGAGTGTCAGGACAGCCAGCCCAATCCGCGCCAGTATAAGCAATAAGCTCAGTCGAGGTAGAGGCGCGGAGACGAAGACCGTAGGTTCGCGTGCCAGAATGTACCGAAGAATGCGCTTGACCAAGGACCAGTGAACATCACGGGGCAAGTGCATATGCAAGCAAACTTGCTGCACCGCAGACTGGATGTCTGGTCTGGTGAGCGTAAGGTACTGAAGGGCGCCAACAATGTTGCGGTAGAGGGCGGCGTCAACAGCGGGCTGGCCGGTGATGGCGGAGAGCTTCGGCTTGGCCTCTGCAGGCGTGGCGGTCAACTTGCAGTCAGTCATGCCGGCACGGTCCAGAAGATCAAGCGCGTACTGTCCCTGGTGAAGGAAGAACCCAGAGGCATCGCGTCACACAATAATGCCGAAGAAAAAGTGCAACGCGCTTAGGTCCTTCAGTCGAAACTCAGAGCCAAGACGACCAATGATGTCGTGGAGAAGATCCTCTCGGGAGGCAGTGATGACAATATCATCGACATAGAGCAGAAGCATAGCCACTTAATCAGACCGATGAAGCACGAACAACGGCGTGTCAGAGGTGGTGCTGCGAAACCCGAGAAGACCGAGGAACGCCATGATGCGCTAGTACCGTGACAACAGGCAGGCATCATCCGGACACTAAGGGTCCACGCACCCAGCCGACTGCTGACAGAGAACCCGCTCCTGAAGATGGCCATACAAAAAAGAGTTGTTGATGTCGAGCTGATGTACGGGCCAACGATGAGAGGCGGCCAGCTGGGGGACAACATGCATTGTGGCGGGTTTGAAAACCGGAGAGAAAGTCTCGAAGAAGTCAACACCGGCATGTTGTGCAAAACCGTGCACAACCCAGCGAGCCTTGTACCTGTCGAGAGAACCGCCCGGGAGGAGTTTATGACGAAAAACCCACTTGCCTGAGATGAAGCTCGCTCCAGGAAGACGAGGAACAAGGGTCCAAGTCCAGTTGGAGACAAGAGCGTCATACTCAGCGTGCATGGCGGCGGTCCAATGTGGATCACTCAACGCAGTACGCACCGAGCGCGGAACTGGAGAGATGGTCATGAGTCATGACGCTAAGGTTGTGGTAGCACGGGTTCGCTGATGCACCCCAGCATTGGCACATGTCACCATGAAGTGGTGAGGCAGCGGGGAAGGCGTACGTGGACCACGGGGAGGGGCCACAACCGGTGGCTCGGACGATGAGGTGGAGCGGGCGAGGCCACGGGCGTTGGAGTCGAGGGCGCAGTCGACAAGGCCGGTGGCGTGGCCGACGAGGCACCGAAGGGCCCAGCAGGGGACGGCGACGAAGGCACCGATGGGGCTGAGAGGGCCGGCTCATCCTGAGCTGGTGAGGAGGACCACGAGGCGCGCGGAGACCCAGTTGAGGGCGATGCCGCGGTCGAGGACGAAACCCCCGAGAGCCCGGGGATCCTCCTGAGACGGCAAGGGGAACGCCGAGGACAGCGAGGCCGTGACCGGGGACGGGGGAGTCCGACGGGGTCACAGCAGCGCCCAAGCGACGGGGTTGAGGGAGTGTAAGTGCTCCACAAACCCGTCGAGGAGGGGCTAGAGATGGCGCGGAACGCGTCGATGCCTGTTGAAAAGGAAAAACAACCTCATAAAAATAAATGTGCCAACACACGATCACACGATG